TAGCGGTGGTCACTAATGCTGGTTTGACTGTACTAGAATCTATTAAGATGACAACCTGGCAAACACAGAATGTTTGGCAGTGTGCACTGAGGTAAGAAAGAATAACTGCCAAATACTTTGTAAAACACATCATATCAGTGTGTAAATAATATGTTACAACTTTACTGGGTGACATCAGACTATGAAAACAGTATAACAAAATAATCCCAAGAAAGATTTTCTGCAATTTGTACTGAATAATTTGTCAATATAATATTCGTAAACTTATAACAAGGCAATAAATAAAAACTCCCAACTTACTTCTCTTTCATGTTCTTTACTGAGGGCCACATAGTTTGATTTTAATGAAACATATTCATCAGCTAGTTCCTTCCTGTCGCGTTCCATTTCATCTAATCTTTCCTTTGCATCTCTGTATTTCTTTGATATTTTATCTTTCTCAATTCCAAGTTCCATCAGTTCATTTTCCAATGCCAATATCTAAGTACAGAAACATTGGATATATATTTAGAGATTCTAAGTTTAAGAAAATGTTGTGAAATTGTACATACTGAATATTTGGCCAATCTGGTACTTACCCTATTGGTATGCTCAAATCTAGACTGCTCAGCAGATTCTTTTATCTTGTTATTTTCAAGTTGTAGATCAACCAGTGTCTTTGACACCTGTAAATAATATTGCAGGTTAACTGTATGAATCACTGTTTTGTGATTGGTTAATGCTGTGTCATTATGCACAAGCTGTTACATAGTAACAGGTTTCTTACAAAAATCAGTGATGGCAAACAAGAATGCATCATCATTGTAAATATTTTTGAAAATATATCTGAGCCTTGAATGTAGTTGCAGTACAATACACTGAATATTACTATGACATTAAGGCTGCTTGCAAACCTATTGCTGATATAGTTAGCGTAAGTGATTTATTTAATTTCTTTGTAGGTTAACACACATAAATACTTGATGAGTTAATATCATATGGCTGTCATATGTGTAATGCCTTATTTGTTATGGCATATATTTTCACTGAAAAACATTTTGACTGTTATGTTTTTAGTTTCTTTTCACTGATTGAATAACAAATGTATGTACATGTATTATCGAGCAACAGCTATACATATCCACTATTCTAAGACTTAGCATTCTAAACAGGTCAACATAATTGAGACTCATACAGGGTTTAATCACTTATACGTGTAGCCACCATTTTATGGATGGCTTGCCTACAATACTACGGGTAAATGAACACGAACCACAACAATTATACTAACAATAAAGGTCACAAAAGGTCATTCTACAATATCAAACATTACGGTTCAACAACAAAACACTCATTATCTTCTCAGCCAAACTGAATTAAAGATTAGATTTGAGCATGATGCTTTCAATCAATTACGCATTTTTATGAATGAGAAGTGATTGATAATCATACTGATCATAAATTACAGAAATTCAAAAATAATCATCACAAGATTTATCATATTTAGTTTCTCAAGATAAAATTATCCTTCAACACATGTTTCATGAAGGAGAACAACAACAAAAAATGATTTGTACAAAAAGAAGTTTATAAGAAGTAGTACATTATGCAGTTTGAACTGTATACATATATAATTTACATTCTGAAACTTGTCAACGTCATAACAGCTATTGAACATGTACTGTAAAGTAGTATCACTAAGGTAATGGGTACACAATGTGAATAACCAAACAAATAACACATCAACACAGTCTTTCACTTAATAAAGAATTCTTACAAAAACAGAATTAAACTATCCACTTACCCGTAGTTTTTCTTCTTCACTCATTATGAGTTTGCCAGAAAGATTTGTCTTAGCGTCAGTAATATCTTTAAACTTGCCTTGAAGAGACTCCAGCTTGCTTAACAACCTTTCGTTTTTGTCCTTAAGCTGGATCTATAGGAATTGAGGACAAACAACAAGGTAGGTTTAGTAGGTGGGAAATAACAATAGACATGACACTCATTGTAAATAATGACATGCAGACAATGAGATATAGTGGTGTCTCCTGCTTCTCTAAGATTAGCACTATACCTCTAGTATACATGGATCATTATATTAACTATATAGGGGTGAGTAGCCTAGAACTGTACCTCTAGTATACATGGATTATTCTATTAACTATATAGGGATGAGTAGCCAAGCACTATTCCTCTAGTATACATAGGTTATTTCATTACCTATATGAGGGGTGTGCAGCCTAGAACTATACCTCTAGTATACAGGGGTCATTCCATTAACTATATAGGGGTGTACACCTTAGCACAATTCCCATAGTACTGTAAAAGGGTTAATTTTTCACTGGGTTTTGATTTTGATTATGTTGCTGACTGGAAAATGCGCTAAATTAAAACCCAGTGAATATGTAAAATTTAGCATAGAACACATTATCTAAACGATAAAATCATGAATTTAAAACCCACTGAATATGCCTGAACTCAGTCAGTGATTTAAACTCAGTCAGTGAAAATTAATCATTTTACAATATACATGGGTCATTCAATTATCTATATAGGGGTGTACAGCTTAGCACTATACCTGTAGTATACAGAGGTTGTTTCACTGTCTATATAGGGGTGTACAGCTTAGCACTATACCTGTAGTATACAGAGGTTGTTTCACTGTCTATATAGGGGTGTGCATACAGTTTTTATTATAAAAAGGAATGCTGGTAACTTCATTCTATGAAGGGATGTTTTTAACTCTATGTATCTCACAAAATATACAACATTCACAGTTGACTGTTAAAATAAATATTTTGTACATTTCAATTCATTTCCAGAGTGTGTTATGGAAATTATGTATTTTTCTATGGATTTTTTATGATCTGAAATAAACACATAATAATAATAATATACCAGGTGTCAAAATACATAAACATGTAGACATATAGCTGACTGAGAACACTGAATAGAAATAGTACAGTAGTATGTACACCATGATTGTTTCTTAAGAGAAATGTTTACATGTATCTTGAAAATAATATATGTATGCATTTTGTTAATATGTTTTTAATAAGTATGAGCTAACAATGTTTACGACATGAAGTTTGTCTGTTCTAACATGACTTCATGTGATGCAATCTTTTAGTTTGTAGCCATCTTTGACAATTAAGTTTCTTCGTCTAAAGTTTACATTTTCTCAGAATACAACTATACTTGAATTTACTCCCCACAACTAATATTATTGTTAATAGAGAGTAATGTTTAACATTGTCAGAGTCAGAAATGGTGGGCACCTATTTCCCCCTATGATAAGCAAAGTAATATCATTTATATCATTGTTGTTTCAGTGCTCACTGTTTCTACCCATAGAGCTACCCCTACCAACTAATTCACACTGCTTCTATCTGCATCTACTTATTCTAATATCATTTGTGGGAAGGGGGGGGGGGTAGTATAGTACAATCATGTTATTTTGACATGCTGTAGTTTCAGTTAAATATTTATTTCATGACATACTACTCAACATACCCCGGTAATATTAATCAATGGAAATTTAAAATGCTGGAAAAAAAAGAAAATAAACAAGATAAAACAATTCTCTTTGTTTTAATAAGTGAAAGAAGAAACACACAAATAATAATGAAGTTAAACTGACTTGTGTAGATAGACAAATGATGAGATTGTTAGTTCAGGGGCAGGATAAATAAAAATAGGTTTTAGAAAAAATGATGCAATAACATGGTTTTATTTATTTTTCATATTAAGACTATCTAATAACACAACAGCAAAATAAACAAGGACTGAGTGACTTGTCAGATTCAACAAGGACTGAGTGACTTGTCAGATTCAACAAGGACTGAGTGACTTGTCAGATTCAACAAGGACTGAGTGACTTGTCAGAATCAATAAGGCCTGAGTCACTTGTCAGATTCAACAAGGACTGAGTGACTTGTCAGATTCAATAAGGACTGAGTCCCTTGTAAGATTCAATAAGGCCTGAGTCACTTGTCAGATTCAACAAGGACTGAGTGACTTGTCAGATTCAACAAGGACTGAGTGACTTGTCAGATTCAACAAGGACTGAGTGACTTGTCAGATTCAATAAGGACTGAGTGACTTGTCAGATTCAACAAGGACTGAGTGACTTGTCAGATTCAACAAGGACTGAGTGACTTGTCAGATTCAATAAGGACTGAGTCCCTTGTAAGATTCAATAAGGCCTGAGTCACTTGTCAGATTCAACAAGGACTGAGTGACTTGTTAGATTCAACAAGGACTGAGTGACTTGTCAGATTCAACAAGGACTAAGTGACTTGTCAGATTCAATAAGGACTGAGTGACTTGTCAGATTCAACAAGGACTGAGTGACTTGTCAGATTCAACAAGAACTGAGCAACTTGTCAGATTCAATAAGGACTGAGTGACTTGTCAGATTCAACAAGGACTGAGTGACTTGTCAGATTCAACAAGGACTGAGTGACTTGTCAGATTCAACAAGGACTGAGTCACTTGTCAGATTCAACAAGGACTGAGTCACTTGTCAGATTCAACAAGGACTGAGTGACTTGTCAGATTCAACAAGGACTGAGTGACTTGTCAGATTCAATTAGGACTGAGTGACTTGTCAGATTCAACAAGAACTGAGTGACTTGTCAGATTCAACAAGGACTGAGTGACTTGTAAGATTCAATAAGGCCTGAGTCACTTGTCAGATTCAACAAGGACTGAGTGACTTGTCAGATTCGATAAGGACTGAGTGACTTGTCAGATTCAACAAGGACTGAGTGACTTGTAAGATTCAATAAGGCCTGAGTCACTTGTCAGATTCAACAAGGACTGAGTGACTTGTCAGATTCAACAAGGACTGAGTGACTTGTCAGATTCAATAAGGCCTGAGTCACTTGTCAGATTCAATAAGGACTGAGTCCCTTGTCAGATTCAATAAGGACTGAGAGAGGTCCATTGATGAATGTGCCTTTGAGGGAAAACACTTTGCTTCACAAGCCAGATTAAGCATGAAACTAAACTTACATTTTCCATTGCTATTTTCCTGTGGTCATCTTTTAAATCTCCAACACTAGCTTTACCTACACCAGATGTTACTCCAAGACCCAGCATGTCCTCCAAACTCACAATTCTAGCTCTGTACTGGGTCAGCAATCCCTGTAAATAAATTTAAATATTTCATTTGCCTTCCAAGTTCCATTCATAATTTAGATGTTATATAATTATAACATGAATCACATGCTTAACTTGCAATCATCACAAGGTGACGTAACAGCGCAGATCAAAAACCCATATAATTAGTGTGACGTCACGTACACCAAACCTTTTCACACTGTAACTGTTGTCCACAGCTTCCAGGTTTATATATGAATTGACAATTATGAATTGTGGTTAAATTAATTTATTTTGGCAAGCTTGTGGCAATCCCTCCAAATAATCGATTAAAATTAAAAAAATTACAAGCAAATTGAAGCAAAATTCATAAATAAGTAGAATGACCACAGTCTACATGTATGCAATGTGTTCATGTAATATAGAACACCATGGTAACAACAAAATTAGAATATGAGACATGCATAATGATATATTTGTATTAGGGTTATTTCAGCAATTGTTTTACTTATAATTAAGGATATATGCATGTGATAAATATATAAACTTTGCTTTATACCAGCGTACACTTGTGATTACCACCAGAGTAGAATCAATCCTTGTCTGTGGCTTAGATGGATACACAACTCTGATGGAAAACACTTATGTCTGCTGATGTTAACCTAAGGGTAAATATTGTTGGATTAAAATATCATGCAAAGTCACAGTGTTTTGTACAAAATGAAGTAGATATTTAATTTAGTTTTCTGTTTACATTATAACACATCGCTGGGTACACCCTATTGCTACAATTACACAACAGCATTTTATTGGAGCCCAGCGGCTCCAGCCATGTATATATATAGATATGACAAATAGCACCAGAATGTGAAAACACAGCAACATGTTAATTCTATAGTATCTTACTCTTGCCAAAAAATGTCAGAACTACCATACTAATCTCACCAATGTGAAATTTAGCTTTCAGCATGTATGGTCCAAGTGCATTCAAGTTTGAGAATAGTAAACTTGTAATCTTTTCTCCTCACTATTTAAAAATGGGCCGTTGTTTTTGAGTAGCAACACCTAAGATTGAACAAAAGATTCCCAAATTGTCAAGCAAAGTGTATGCATGGTAATCCTACTGATTTATGGTGGAATGCAACATATATCCCATTATGATACATATATGTTTATACAAAATTAAGGAATAAAATATTCAAATTTAACATACCTGTGCCAAACTGTCATTGAGTATCGGGAAATTCCTGACCATTGACAGTTGACTTGATAAACGTAACATTGTTGATAAGGTGTGAGGATCTGGCTGAGGTCTAAAATGTATAATTGCTGCTGTTTTGCAATTACCACCCAGGACATCATGAAGTAAACTTGTTAACTTAGAATCTCTGGAATAAAAAATAAAATATTTTTTTTTACTATCTTAAACAAGTACATTGTATCAGATGTAAAGGGCATATTCCTCCATCAGTGTCGTCTAACTAGGATTCCGTGTCCACTTGTTGACTGTTGTGGAGGTCTTCAAGAAACACAAACAAAAATGCTGTGGCCCCTGATTTATATTGTTTCAATATACAAATTGTACAACTATAGTAGCAAGTTTTTTAAGAACACTATTATAATAATAATAATAATAATACTTTATTGACATCATTCTGTTTGAAAAGAACATACAGTCTAGTGCTAAACTAATAATTAAAATTAAAAAAAAAAAAGGAAGAAATAAATATGTAGTTTAAATAAATACATATTTAAAATTATGAAATATTGATATATATATTTAAAATGCACCACATTCTCTAATATACTTCGCAAGTTCCTTATCTACATTGCTCATAATGTATATGAACTTGTCATCTGGTTTCATCAAATTAAAATATGGATGTATATAAGCAATTTTTCCAAACAGCTTACATCTTGCATTTTTATGACTTGGACAATCAATCAGAAAT